AGAAGGGGAAGGGGAAGGGGAAGGGGAAGGGGAAGGGGAAGGGAAAGGGAAAGGGAAAGGGAAAGGGAGACTGAGATGTTATTTACTAAAGACTTGGATTTGTAACCTGTCCTTGGTGAATGTATTCTTCCTCAGTATACCAGGGAGACTTTATTTTTTCTGTAGAAATATTTGCTTCCAATGTTGGGGGCCTCCTTGAGCTTACAATTCAGTTGGAGGCACTGGTTTATTTTTTTAAAGATTCTACCTTTAGTAAACAGAAGGTATCAGTTTCTTCTTTTCTCATGCTGACTCAATTTTCTACATGAGTTGGTATTCATATTTGATCTAGATCTTGCTGTTCTAACCTTCTACACCCTGTTTACTGAGTCAGTCTTCAATCCCAGGGCTTCCATGATGCCTTTTCAGTCCTTTCCAGGCTTCACCCGGTTTGTCTGTCTGCCCTGGTACGTTTCCTTGTACTTCCTCTTTTCTCCCAAAAATCTATTTTGGTGTTTTCTTCTCCCCATTCTCTTTCTCTTTTACCTATAACTCTAACCCCAACATTGCCAAGATATGAGGACTCTTAAACTAATTTCTTCATTAGCCATACAGAAATCAACTTAATGAAACCATCTTCTTGCTTCCTGACATTTTATATTTATCTGGGATACAGGGAGGTAAGGGAAGTTAACATGCACCCACACTATTCCTTGTTTTGGTGGCCTCTCCACACTGTAAAATATTTCCAGAAATAGCTTAAGAAGGTTGACATTGTGATATAACTAAAGTTTGCATTTGATATATGCAAATGACACTTGAATTTGATATAACTAAACTTTTTTTAGCTAAAATGGGCAGTAACAAAAATTGAAAACTTTCATTATACACTTTCTATGCATCAGACACTATTCTGAGAATTTTCTATCATTTATGTACCAATCCTCCAAATTATTCTATGATGCCAGTACTATAATTAGCAACAATTAGAGGAAGAAGAACATCAGGTATAGAGAGCTTAAGCAACTTACCTATGATATTTGAAAATAAGTCCTATTCTGATCTCTGTTGTTCAATGTTGTTGTAGTTGGCTGCAAGTCGCAGGAAAATGTAATGGAATCCAGCTGCTATGACAAAAGCTACTACTTGGAAAGGTCAAGAACTTTTCTGAAGGTCAAGCCATGGCTTAAGAAGTCTTGGTGATATTTTAGCTTTTAGCTGGTTCTTACAATGATTTTCTATGCTATGTGTGCTTCCAAGAACTCCCAATAGTGTTTTCATCTAAAATACCTACACATCCAAGCCAAACAATCTCCTGAACTAAGTAACACCCTTAGGCAAATAATGCCTGTGTCCTAGGTCAGGCAGATAGCTTTATTTCTTGTGCAATTTAAACTGAGACCTTTCTTATACAGCCTTACTAACATTATAGACTCCTTACATTTTACATAACTGCTTCTAGGAATGTAGTTTGAGCACACAAATTCCCCTTTTCTGATATATTAACCGATTTTAGCTCTCAGTTGACCTCTTCCTTTACCACTTACTTTTTGAGTTGTAAAAGAAAGCCTGACAGTCACTGACTGAGGAAAACTCTTGTCTGCCTTTATGACCCTGTTAGAATTTAAGCCTGGTGACCTTGATTTAGCTAGAGCATTCTATTGCATGGGTATATAGTTGCAAACCTTGGAGACTTAGAGAGGATTTTGACTGGAGAACTAGATGGAGAACTAGATAAATGAGATGGAAGATGAGGAAGAGCCAGATGGGTAAGAACAAGAGAAAAAAGACTAAGATGGAGCAGAACTAACATGAGAGATTTAAGATATAACTTAGAGGAGACAGCAGATAAAGGCAGAGAGAAATCAGGTAAGAAAAAAGCTAGGCACGAGAACAGAACTGAAGCTGTGTAGATAGGATTTTATCCCAGAGGAATAGAGTAGACGGACTAAGAGCTTGGTGTACCTAGATTCATTTCCCAAAAATAATTCTTGCCATTCGTAGCTTCTCTTCTGGGCCCCTGGGAAGAAGATTATTAAGGCTGGTCCTTAATAACACTTGAGAGTAGTTAAATAGGAATTACAGTAAGATATCACTACAGCCTCACAGTGTGGATAAAGTGTCCAGTGGTTGCTAAGGTATAGAACAACTTCCTTGTACAGATTTGCTTGTAGGAGTTTAATGCTACCACAATTGTGGAAAAGTGTCTGACTCTTTGTTATAAACACATTCCAAGTGCTTACTCAAGAAAGAATAAAAATATATCCTCCTGTAAATAATTTTTAAATGTTCATAATAGCAATGCACACACACACACACACACACACACACACACACACACACACACACACACACACACATTCTCCAAACTAATAGGCCAAATGTGCATTAATTGATGAACATACAAATAAGCTGAGATATAAATATACAATGGAATATTTTTTAGCAGGATATAATATGGATAAATATCAACTGAATGACCTGACCACTGATTTTTTCCCTTGCCTTATTATAACTCTCCTCTCCCAGCTCATAGCTTGAGATTGACAAAAACAATATACTTAATGTGTGCAATTTGATATTTTGAAATATGCCACTGTGAAATAGTTACCATCAAGCTAATTAACATGCCCATCATCTCACATAGATTCCATTATCTTTACTTTTGTGTTCAGAACACTTAAGAACTAATCTCTTAGCAAATTTCAAGTATATGGCACAGTACAATACTAGCCATAGTCACTTTACTGTGCTGAAACTCATCTGCCATGATTGAAACGTTGTACACTTGGAGCAGCATCTTCCCATTGTACCCCCACTGCTCAGCCCCAATTCTCAGAAACCACTATCATGTAGTACCTGGTGCACATGAATTTACCAATTAAGGTGTCTCATATAAGTGAGATCATGGAGCATTTGTCTCTATGTGTCTGGCTTAGCGGACTTAGCATAATGGTCAGGTTCCTCCATGCTGTTGGAAATGGTAAGATATTTCTGTTCTTTTCCTATTCTTTTGTCACAGGTCATTAAATTTGTTTTTATATCCTAGCTCTTATGAATGCTGCTGTAGTGTTCATAGGAATGCAGAGTTTTTTTTAAGATACTGATCGACTACATATTTTATACTATGAAGGATATATTTATCCAACAAGTGCGTTCTTCTTTGGAGAATGTAATTTTATTTTAAGACCTTTTTGGTTTCTTCGCCTTTTATGTTTCTGTCAACTAAAATAGTGCTTTGCAGCATTTTTGTCTGGTTTGAACTATTATAACAAAATATAATATTAGGTACCTTTTTAAAAACAGAATTTTTTCTGTTTCTGGAGGTTTGAAAGTCCAAGGTCAGGGGGACAGCTGATTTCATCTCTGGTCCCTCTTTCTGCTCAAAAGCACTGACCATGTCATCATGTGGTGGAAAGATCATGCCTGATCTCTGGAATCTCTCTCATAAGAACACTAAAGCCATTTACTAGGGTTCTACCATTGTGATATAATCATCTCCCAAAAGACTTATTTTCTAAAACCACCCTTAGTGTTAGAATCACAACACAGGAATTGAGTGGCAACACTAACTAGGGAAATGAGATTTAAGAATTTTCTATAGCTGTTCAGCATTTGGTCTACTACATTCTTATTTTTTATGTCTAGAGAGAACTACATGCTGTAATTCCTCCTAGATCTTTAATATTAGGAAGTTACGTGATATCCACCCAAGAGTGAAAGCTGCCACCCAGTTAGCTGCTCAGGATTAGTGTCTGTGGTTGAAATAAGTTTACTGAAAAGGAAGAGGGAAGACACAGACCATAGAGTCCTCAGCAGGAGAGGCAGCACAGAAGGATTCCAGTGTGCTGAAGTGATCACAACTAAAACCAATTTCCCAGCTCATCTGCATTAGGAGTCAGCTGTTGTTGTTTGGGGGCTTTTACTCTTTTAAGGGGGCCCACCACTTAGATGCCAAACAAATCACACAAAGAGGCTTATTTTTAATTATGAATGCCTGGCCTTAGCTTGGCTTAGTTTCTAGCCAGTTTTTTTTTTATTAACTTTAACCCGTCCATCTTTTGCCTCTGGGCTTTTCCCATTCTCTTACTTCTGTAAATCTTACTCTTACTCCATGGCTTGCTGTATAGCTGGGTGGCTGGCCCCTGAGTCCTCCTCCTTCTCTGGCTACTTCCTTCTCTTCACTCCTCCATCTCTTTTCTTCACGTTCTCTATCTTCTCTCTGCCTGCCAGCCCCATCAATCCTTTCTCCTGCCTTGCTATTGGCCATTCAGCTCTTTATTAGGCCATCAGGTGTTTTAGACAGGCACAATAACACAGCTTCACAGAGTTAAACAAATGCAACATAAATATAAGTAACACACCTTAAAATAATATTCCCCAACAAGCTGTGGTTGTACCAGGTCCAGTTGGCCTGGCTGAGTAAGACATCATCAAAGCCATCTCTGAGAGCTGTGAGGAAGGCTTCTTTTGTATCATCAGTAACTTCATACCAAGTTATCTCCTTGGTGTCCCTGAAGGCTAGAATGAGATAGAACCATGCTGCCTTGGACAGACACATTTGCTGCTTCTTACCCTGTCAACCCACTGAACCTGAGGTTTCAGAGGTACCCAGTGTCAAGTGACCATTGTTCTGTGACAGGAGACAGGCTGTTTTCTTTATTTCATGGTGTGATAGGGCCCTTCCTGGATTGCATGAAGCAGGTGACGGGGGTTACTGTATGACCTACATGCAGACATGGATGCCAGCCTGGTAGAGGATATTGCAGGGAGTGGGGAATGCTAGTCCATCAAGACCCATGTAAACTCAGGTGAGCAGCTCTCAGTTATGTTGTCAACTTGAAGTGTGTTCTGCCCTTGGCAACCCTGTAAAGCACAATAAAATGGGCTTCCTCTCTTCTAAAATATTGTGAAAATATTATCAAGGTGTTAAAATCTTGATGATCAGAGCAAAACTGTCAGCTTGGTGAAGTGGTGTATGCCTGTAAGCCAGCAGTCAGGAAGCTGTAACAAGACAACGGCCATGACTTTGAGGCTAGTCAGGAGTAATTAATGATTACAGTGTCAGCCACAGTTATATAGTAAGACTATTTTATACAGCAAACAAACATAATGGTCACAGCTAGTATTTATTTTTAAAAAGTAATTTTTTAGGTGTTAGATGCCTAACATCTATCGTGTGTGTGTGTGTGTGTGTGTGTGTGTGTGTGTGTGTGTGTGTGTAAAACAATTGATGAAAGAAGTGGTCATGAGGGGCATATGTGAAGTAGGTGGTTTGAAGAAGAACGGCTTCCACAGGCTCATATATTTGAGTGCTTATTCCCTACTTAGTAGAACTGTTTAGGAAGGGTTAGGAGGTGTGGCCTTGTTGGAGTAAGTGTGACCTTATTGGAGGAGGTGTGTCACTGGGGATGGGCTTCGAGGCTTCAAAGCCCACACCAGTTCCAGTGTCCTTCTCTCTATCCTATAACTTGCTGACCAGATGTGCCCTCACAGCTACTGATGCAAGCATCATGTCTGCCTGCCATGATGATCATGGACTAACACTCTTAAACTGTGAGTATTGCAGTTAAATGCTTCTTTCTGTAAGTTTCCTTGGTCATTGATAGACCCCAAAACCCAGGGTACTACCTTCTCGGGTGGATGCCCCAAGAACCCAGACTCTGGTCCAGTTGATGCAAACAGCAAGAGGTTTATTGATGCGGCTGTACAGTTGGGCTTATCTCCTCCCAAGAGCAAGAGTCGCGCCCTACTGTAGCCACATGGGTACTTTTAAAGGAAAGGAAAACCCACAAAAGCCATATGATTACAATTCCCATGCAATTTCATTCCGGTTGGTTCATGTCTAGGGGCTACTTTCACAAGATTATGGCCTAATCACAGGGTAGGTACAATCACGTTCACATGCACAATTTCCCCCGGAACCTCAGCGAGGGAAGGGGGGGTATCAGGGCAGGAGTGAAGGTTACACAAAGGTTACAGTGGTCTTTCCTGGAACACTTGCAATTATCCCAGTCACAGCTGAGCAACATATCTTAACAGAAATCTCCATACATTGTGGTAAGGGTGGTTGAGTAATGGCTGAGTCAGTTTGCCCTTGGAACTAGCTTTTTAGTTCCTCATTCTCCTGGGGCTTGGGGGGTGTAAGCCTGAAGGGTTAGGGTCTTTCAGTCATGTGTCTCCTCATAGCAATAAAATAGTAACAGGGTTTGAAATGAGTAAAAGTAAGAGGGAAATGATATAATTATGTTATAATCTCAAAAAATAATGAAAATAATTATACAAGTATTGCCCAGAGCAAACAAAAAACCATCATTGTCTTCACCATGCATTTTTATCTTTCCTTGTTCCCTCCTCCCTGCTTCAACCACACCCAGATATTGAAGGTAACACAAGACTTGAAATAGAAATGAATGAATTTGTTTTGCACAAAAAAATAAAGGACACAGAGGGAAGGAACTTGAAAGAGCTACAGACAGCCAGATATGGTAGCATATACCCATAATCTCAGCACTTAGGTATTAAAGGCAGGAAGATCAGGAGTTTAAGACCAGCCTCTGCTATATAGTGAGTACAAAGCTAGCTTGGGTTACCTGAGGCCAGGTCTCAAAACAAAACAGAAATAAAAGACCAACTAAAAAGATCATGAAAGACCTTTCCTCCTTCACCCCTCCACAAACAAAAGTAAATCCATGGACAGTCTGTTGAGCATATAAGCAAAGTGATTACAAGTTTCAAGGTGCCCTCTCTTGGTTCAGCATGGCCAACGGATGGTACTCATGTCTCTGAGAAAATTTTATCAGTCACCCTCTTGCTGAGGCTACAAGTACGGTACTTGTGATGACTTGATACCTTACTGTGTATAGAAAACTTCCAACCCTGACAGAAAAGACTGTCTAGCTGGATAATCTTTCATGAAGAAAATAACCTCCAGTTTTGTGTTCTCTGATTTCTACAAAATGAAAACGTGTCATCTTCCACATCCCAGATTACCTACCTGGTGACAAAGGAGCCTACATTCTTCATGGAAATTACAATCTCCAGTAAACACTGAGTCTTTCAGTCATGCCTGAAAGCACACCCTGAGTAGACCCTGCCCTATGACATTGCAGCCCTGGCTTGGTTCTTCTCAGAATACAGACCAAGACCTAGGACCCATCAAAACTTAACTCCCTTGTGCTTTTGTATAGGAGGTCATACTTCACCCATGACTCTCTTTGGTTCTGAAATTTAGTCTAACCCAACAGATCTTTCTGGGGTTAAGAGGCCACATAGGCCTATGGCATAATGCACTGTTGGCCTCTTTGGGGAGATGAAACTTCCCCTTTACTAATCAGGTAGTCAAGTGGTTATCAAGACCTAGAAAGCTGGTGCCCTGAGCCAACAGAAAAGTTCCTATCACTGTCTTGCTTTCCACCCTCAGCAATTGTGATGCGTAGGCTCTCCAGCTGAATTGTTCATTCACAAGTCAAGTGTTACTCCTCTCCAGCAGACCCATAGAAGACCCACCACAGTCCTCCAGGAACTGTGAACCCACAGAGGACTTAAAGTGCCTCATACAAAACAGATATGTGGTCCCCGTTAACAGTGGAATTCTCTACCACAGAATAAGTGAGCCTCAGTTCACGGCCTCTGTCTGCTTGTTGGGATCCTTGTGCTTCCCACTCTGCTCCAGACTTGTCTGCATCAGGAGCTGACAGTGAGTTGCTACTTATTCATAATGCTCATCATTCTCTCTGTGTTGTGGCTGCTACCAGGTTCATTTGAAACCCATGGCTTTTTCAGCCCTTTCATAAATGAAACTGCAGATTCTACAGGCCATTAAAAGTGTTGGGCATATCCTTAAATAACCTAAAAGAGTATATGTGTTTATTGTTCTCATTGTCTCTATTAAAATTATGTCAAAAACTGAGTTCAGAATATTTAGGATTTTCATATACTTTGTAAACTGAAACTACCCAGTTAGTGATTGGAGGGGCTTAAGTCCCTACAGATGGTTAACTTTGCAATCCCCCATCTAGTACTAATTATATAGCTCTGGCCAGGAGAATTGATGCCAAAGCCTACCTCTGTAGGTACCTTTTCCATTTAGAAGATTCTAGAATATTTCAGGGATTTCTTGGCCCTAAATCAAGTACAGTACAATTGGACACAAAAGATGGGGAATTTAACAATGATATCATAAGAGGGAAGGAGCTGTATTAAACTTCTTAGGAGCTCAGAATACAGAACCCAGCAGGACACCTGACCCACACCATGATTCAGCCTACTTAAGCCTCTGGAGTACACTGTCACTTTGTTTTACTAAATAAACTTCTGCTTAAACTGTCTCTATCTATCGCTGTAACTCTGGCTAGATTCTTTCTTTCCAGAATTAAGGAACCAAGAAAGAATTCTGTCCAGTTATAAGGTATCACTGTAAATGGAAATTTACAGACTTGACCTTAAGTGATTAGTCAAACAAATATTGTATGCAATTACTTTCAGCCTATGAGTATAAGGGACATATGAAATGAAATACATGAATTTCAAGTTTAGGTTTGGATTTCATTTCAAAGCATTACATTCTTTACATGCAAATATTAAAATAAACAAAAGCATAAAGTAAAATCTAGAAATATAAAATTTTATATATGGATACAAATGTATAAATTATTATTTCAGAAGAGTATGGAAGTAAATTATAGAATTGGAATTAAGGAAAAAGTTGTTTTAACAAGGATCAAGAGGATATCAGAATCATAAAGTAGAATTTAATGAATTTCAAACTAATTATATATGAGACCTTGTCTGTAATGTTGGAAGTCCAACTTTGCTTATAGAGTGGCCAAAGGGATTATTAAGTAAGACTATAGAGAAGAAAACAGCCTGTCAAACAAAATAGGACGGGTAGTCAAAGTCCATCAGACCACCTGAAGCAGAGCAATGAAAACCATGCCACAGAATAAAACTGATATGTGTAGTGGGTAGCCATTCCAGCTTGGATCTGGAAGCTCCAACCCCCATTGAGACTCTGGCAACTGTCACGCCTACGAGGCGGGGCCTCAGTCGCTTCTAAGACATTTCCATTTGGAAGTTTGTCTTTTTGGCACAAAATGGCCTACTGGGCAAAGAACTGCCCTTGCCTTGATGGCTAACAGTACAAATGCAATGCTGTCCTTTCTGGACAAGCGGGACACAAGGAAAGCGACCACTGTACTCTGCCAAGACAGGGTAAGATGGTCTTTCAGAA